CTAAGCGTTTGCCGAGCATTAAAAATACCCCACAAACGCCTATAATGAAGTTTGAATGGTGTTAACGCTCCGCAAATGCCCCGCAAACGCCAGCCGGGCGTTTGCAGAGTGGCACCATAGACTTGAATAGGAGGCTTCAACTCCTCCTGACTCGACCAGAGACGTCCGTTTTGCCTCAACACAACGTGACGCTAACGCTCCCGTTTGAACAGCACTATGTGCTGCAATGTGCAGAATTTTCCCAGGCGTTTCGGAAATGGTAAAACCACTTCCCAAAGCCTGTCTGCCGCTTGCTAACAAGGCAAGGGTGAATGTAGCCTTACTCCAGTGTTTCTCAACTCCAGTCCTCATGGACCCCCAACAGGTCATGTTTTCAGGATTTCCCCTCAGATGAAACAGCTGTGGTAATTACTAAGGCAGTGAAACTGATCAAATCACCTGTGCAAAATAATGGAAATCCTGAAAACATGACCTGTTGGGGGTCCATGAGGACTGGAATTGAGAAACACTGCCTTACTCTCCACCAGTTGCCCCACCCAACCTTGCCCAGGGCCGCCTCCAACCCCACCCCATCCCCCAACCCCACCCCCAGCCCTGCCCCAACCACGCCCCCTTAAAGCTTATGAAATTTTCGTTAGAATAAAGAGACCAAAATATAAAAAACTGCAATTATAACATCGCTTTATTATGTCAATTTAAACATAACAGCAATAGCTTAATAGCAATAGGGTGCAATCAAAATATCAAGTTTTACAGCTTTAAACGTGTAGTGAACATTTTGTATTTTTTTTGCTTATCTCCTGCATCTATAAAAAAGAGACTTTTTAATATGACGATATGATTTTTGTTAGTGAGCACATATTTTCAGTTATTATTGCAGTTTTTCCTTAACCTCCCTAGCGGTCTGATTATGTCCATATTTCTGTGCTTAAAGCGGTACATTTATTGGCATGGAAATATGTAGTTTTTTTTATTGTAGGCCTGTAATTTTTAGGAATAACTCACTGAAATCTGTCCGAACAAGAGTCTAGTAAACATCCCGGGTATGTTAAAATTTGAAACACAAAATCATAAATTATAATTTAATAAATATTCATAAAAATAATATAATACATTTATTTCAATTATATAATCAAACCAAAAACACTGAAATTTGAAATAGAGCGCCAAGTTCGCACATCACTGAGCAAAGTCGCAAAATCATTTTCAGTGTCTGATGACGAATTTCCCCCACAAATCATTATCACTCAATTCTGCAAGTGGTTCTGATTTACTATTGCTGTTCTCTATCCGGTCTAAAACCGCTTTTTGACCTAAAGGGACGCTTTTTGGACGTCATGGACGTTTCTCAGTCTCAGTTTCCAGGCAGAAAGAACAGTAAAAATGCAGGCAGGGCACAGGACAAAGCACTCGGGACAAAATGTATGTGAAATGGTTTGATACAGGAATGTTATACTATGTGATTTTAGTGTATTTAGTGAATGTCACTTTTCGTCATTTTCAAATTTCCCGCCAGTTCCGTCCCCCGTACATCCTGACGCTCGCAGGGGACGGAACCAAGATGACAGATGCTGGCATCCGCCAGAGGACATTACAGGGGACACTGCAGGGGGGACATCGCGGGAGAGCAGGACAAGATAAGTGAAGAACAGATCCCGGAGCAGCGCCGCATGGTAAGCCCGAGTGTAGCTCGGGGTTACCGCTTGTGGTGCTGAAACTTTACCCCGAGCTACACTCGGGAATACCGCCAGGGAGGCTACTAGCAATAGGGTGCAATCAAAATATCAAGTTTTACAGCTTTAAACCTGTAGTGAACATTTTTATATATTTTTTTTGTTTATCTCCTGCATCTTTAAAAAGAGACTTTTTAACATGACGATATGATATTTGTTAGTGAGCACATATTTTCAGTTATTGCAGTTTCTCCTTAAACTGATTTTTGTATAATACTTTTATATTTTTATTATTCATTTATTAAAGTCCAGTCGTATTTTAGCAGAAAATTATACAAAGAAAATCAGTGTCTTTTGGAACAGTAAATAACAAGCAGGGGCGGACTGACAACTCATGGGGCCCCCGGGTAGTAGGGGATCATGGGGCCCCTGTGTCCTTGCCCAAACTCAAAAAAGCCTATGAAAAAAGGTACCAGGGGCATCTCATGGGGCCCCCTACTGACTCCGAGCCCTCGGGCAGTGCCTGAGTTTCCAAATGGTCAGTCCGCCCCTGATAACAAGTGTCTTACAGTTTATTTTGTAGCCCTATGCTCAGAGGTATACTGCAGTATACTAAGGCCACTGAGCTCTGTGTGAGGGCAGTGCAGTGGTTTCTCTACAGTGATCCCCCAAGGCGGTGGAGAGCGGGCCTCTCCTCATGTCCCCCACAGCGGGGCAGAGCGGACCTCTCCTCGAGTCCCCTGCGGCGGTGGAGAGGGTGTCTCCTCTCAGCGTTGGAGAGCGGACCTATCTGCACCTGTCCCCCCAGCGGCGCTGCCAGTGTAATGGAGGTGCCGAAGAAGCCAGAAACCAGAAGTTGGAAACCGGAACTTGGCTTCACAATGAGGCTTGGAGCGCAGGTGCAGCAGCTCCATCCATCATCTGTGCTCGCCGCTTGCCGCTCGCCACACTAGAATTTCTCCTTGCATTTGGCGACCGGGCGAGCGGCTTTTTCAAGCCCTGTCTTAGGTAATGCTAGCTTCAATGTCAGACAGAGCGCCAATTACCAGGCTCAGGCAGCCCGACACTGCTGCTGCCAAAGAGACAGCTGCTTTTCTAAGCGAGCCCCTGTCTCCGGCTTCCAGCACGTACCTAATGCAAGCACCAGCATGAGGAATGCATAGGGAGATGAGGCTGACAGGCATTCTTCTTGCCGCTGCTTGCCTGGTTACAGGGTTGGTGGCTTGTAAACCTCAGAGGATTCCCACAATTTCTCTCCTTCATAGTGCAGAACAGTCTATCTGAGTCACACCACAAATTATTAGTCCAGACGCAATTTTATTCCAATGTAAGGTCAGGTAGAAGATCACATGAAGAAGTCAACGCATTTCAGTGGTGTTTCTACACATATGGCAACCAAATCATTTTCTGACATGTCTTGGTTCTGATATTATACCGGTCAATATATCATTAACACTGCCCTCTCCATTACATCCATATACATTGTCTCCTATCTTTAAGCCATATGATAAAGGTAACGAGTTTGGACACCCGAAAACACGTTGGCCTCCTATTTTGATCTTCTACTTGACTTCTGACTTTACATTGGAATAAAATTGTAGTTGGAATATTCATTTGTGGCGTGGCACTTCAGTCTCAGACGCAAGGTTTTTATTACTGTCCCATTGAGGACATTGGTTTTCACCTTCCTTCCTAATGATGGAAGTCACCAGAGAAGGAAGTGAAGGAAAATCTCTCCAAAAGGACACAGACTTATAAAAGTACAATAATTTTAGTAGAGTGGAGAAGTTCTAGAACACGGGCCCTTAACCAAGAGTACAACCCTTTGAGGGTAGGGGAACCAAGTGAAGGGGGTGGTATTTTGGTTAAACTAGATTCTCTGCATCGTTGAACCTAAAATCAAAGTGGATATATTGATGTTTTGGATGCAGCAAAAGTGCAGCAAAATATTACTAGATGTATCAACCTTTAATAAAAAATAAATATGATACAGTTCTTACGACCTTCTTTCAGCTGTCCTATTCCTAGCTATCCATATGTAGAGAAAAAACAAATTGTTTACATCTATTAAAGCCTTATAAGTACCGAATAGGATTGGTGATAACTATTGATGAGCAAATTTACTTTTGATTCTCAAAGTTTGGAGAATCTTGTTCGAAATTCATTAAACCCAAACCGGAGACCAATACCACTGAAGTCTATGGGTGGTAAATCCTATTACATTCTGGTTATTTGTAGGGTAAAAAGGAAACTACTGTCAAAATAAAGATAAAGGAAGCTGGACACTGCCGTGTGGGACACATACCAATGCACAAACATTAAAAAAAAAAAATGCTAGTACATACCAGATGGTCTGCTTTGAGCACCCCAAACTTAAAGCGGAACTTCACCCAAAAGGGGAAGTTCTGCTTTTTTGCTTCCTCTTTAACATTTTGGCACTTTTTTTTTTTGGGGGGGGGGGGGGATACCTAGTTTTAATAGGTACTTGCTCCCACTCTAGTCGATACAAGTTGCTCCCCTCATTTTTGGCATCACAGGTCCAAAAAAGCTGCAGGACCAGTCACAAAGTGCAGTGCTCATGCATATTCAGTGGGAAGCCGACTGTGAAGCCGCAGAGAGTCACAGCTGACTTCCCACACTAGATATGCTGGTGCCGAGGATCCAAAGACCGGCAAAGAACTGGCCCATGCGAGACCAGAGCTGGATCCCCGGACAGGTAAGTGTTACTCTAATAAAATTCAGCAGCTACAGTATTCTTTAGCTGCTGCATTCTATTTTTTGGTGGTGGGGGAGCTGGGGGGGACAGCTGCTGACTTGTAAATTTGGTCTGCTGGGTAAAGTTTAAAAGCCACGCAGTGCATTATTGTCTAGAAATTTCTTCTGGATGAATCTGCGCATAAATTAACTGGGACCTCAAATCTTGAATCTGCAGGATTTACTTCAAACCCATGGTAGTGGTGAACCCTAACTTCATACCTAGTAATGATGATGGAGATTTGTGGACATTTTGAGCAATCCACTGGGGGGTTGTAATCATAAAAATGTTAAAAACCTCTGCCTTAGAACATCTGCCAAGGGTTTATTATTGTAGACCCCCATTTGGGAGATTCCCCTCACTTTCTCTTCTAGAGATGGTGGTATTTTGGGACAGAATGTAAATATCAATTTCCCTAATAATTACATATGCAGACAATAGTAAAAAAAAAAACCCTAATAAGAAATTCAAATTGTCCTCCACCCTGTCCAAGACTAACAAAAACAGTTTTGGCTGGAGTAACATCTGAAGTGCATTGTTAAGGATTGTGTTTGCTTATTTGTGAGTATTACCTGAAGGGGTGCCCAAAGGAGTGTTGTTTGGAGCCCGAATTGTCCGCTGTAGCTGCGGTCCTCCTGTGTCCTCCTCCCCTGGCTCAGAGTCTGTAGAGGAATTTAAAGGAAATCTTTAGTCACAGCATACACTTTAATTTTATAACATTAGCATTGTAATAGTAATACAAACAATAGTTACTGTATATTTGACAATCCAATATAAACTTACTTGAAAAATCTACTTTCATGTTGTGAGTGCTGCCTGTCTGCTGGCCATCTCTTTCCACAACTTTCCCAGCATGTTTTGCAGCTTCTCCTCCATTTTAAGGACTACATGTCCCATGACTACATATCCCATGGTACCTTGCTGCCTGCAAGCAGTGATTTCTGAACTGACTCCGCCTCCTGAAACTCCTCCTCTCAGCACCTCTGTAGATCAGAAGGTGGTCTCTGTGAAATGTGTGACACAGTAGTGCCTACTCACAGGGCATAGTGACTACGTGTCACAGAATCCAGAGAAGTAAATGTGTGGGATCTTCTTAAAGTAAGTTTACAAACTTCCACATCATTTAGATTAATAGGAATAGGCTAGAAATAAGTGAAATACAATGGAGGTAAATTGTTTGCATTTTAAAGTACACTATATTGCCAAAAGATTTTGGCCAGCCCTCCAAATCATTGAATACAGATGTTCCAATCACCTCCATGGCCACAGGTGTATACAATCATCACCTAGGCATGCAGACTGCTTCTACAAACATTTGTGAAAGAATGGGTCGCTCTCAGGAGCTCAGTGACTCCAAGCGTGGTCCCGTGATAGGTTGTCACCTGTGCAATAAGTCCATCCGTGACATTTCCTGGCTACTAAATATGTCAACTTTTCGTGGTATTATAACAAAGTGGAAGCAACTGGGAACAACAGCAACTCAGCCACCAAGTGGTAGGCCATGTAAAATGACAGAGCGGGGGTCAGGGCAAGTCACCAACTGTCTGCAGAGTCAATAGCTAAAGACCTCCAAACTTGGTGTGGCCTTCAGATTAGCACAACAACAGTGTGTAGAGAGCTCCATGGAATGGGTTTCCATGGCCGAGCAGCTGCATCCAAGCCTTACATCACCAAGTGCAATGCAAAGCGTCGGATGCTGTGGTGTAAAGCACGCCGCCACTGGACCATAGAGCAGTGGAGACGTATTCTCTGGAGTGACGAATCACACTTCTCTATCTGGCAAAACATGCGCGCGAAACATGTTGTCCTGGCAACCGACCTGTTCCTTCTAAAGCTGCGGCTCCAGCAAGAGTTCCTCCCCTCTCCACATCGTGGTGACGTCATCCGGGACGCTGGGACGTCGGATACACGTGGTCCCTGCACTGACATGCATTCTACTCCACTACTTCCCTCTGAGCGAATGGTCCGTCCATCTTGGAACTGGCTTCTTAAAGCCACAGGCTGGATATCTATTTTTTACCATATGAATTATTAAAGGCACACCTCCATATAAGGTGTATTACTTTTATCACAAAACGACACAGCGCCTGGCTCCTGTTCATACTTTCCACAAACCGATGTGTTTTTACCGTGGCAGCAGTGAGTTTTTTCCCCACCAATCACAGTTGACATATACCATTCACTTATTTCCTTTGGGACACATCTGTGCGCTTTTCTCCAGACCGTTCTTACTTGTAGCGGTAAATCTTTTAATACAACATATTCAAGTGCAATTATTTTTTACATTGGGTACTTACATGAGATGCCCAGAATTCTCATCTTTTTTTTTTTTTAGCTCAACAAGTGCAACAGCTGATAACAACCAGTAGGAATTCCAATTTGATTTGTATCCCCGTTAGTAATTTTTGTTTACTGCTCGTTCCAGAAACATGACAGGAAGTGACTTAAAATCTCCCAAAAGTAAAGGGAAGTACCATCGTTGGACAGTAGTAACTTTCACCTTCTGTCCTGGTGCCTATTGTAGTCTTTTGGATTTGCCCTCATCTTTTACCCATTGACAATGGCCACTGTGACAAGACTGTGATTTGGATTTTCCCAACTGGGACACAGACAGCAACATAAAAGGGGATATGGGATGTAACTCTTCCCTTGTATACTCAAAGCTAGAAGCAAAGGCTTGGCCAATGTTCTATTTTAAGGCCTCATGCACACTGGGCATTTTAAAAACATCAGTACTGGATTCTGGTGCATTTTTGATGCGTTCTGGTGCATTTTACCGCATTCCAGTACAGGAAAAATGCAGCATGTTCTACATTTTTTTTCTGGAACTGGAATGCCCTGGAACTGACCACACTGGTGTGAACTATGCCACTGGAAACCATATAACCTACTTTCCATGCGTTTTTGATGCAGAAAGAAAAAAAAACACACTGGACTGCATGTGGTGTAAACTGACCCTGAAACACCTTTTTACATGGGCTCTGGTTGGCTCTGGGTGCTGTCAATCAAATCTTGTGAGGCGGGATCAGGGAGTGTGGCTTAGCCTCGCTATGTCCCTCTAGAGATGCACACAGCCCAGCTTGGGAGTGAGCCCGCAGGTGTTTCCCCATAGCAAAATATTTATTCATTTATAAAAAAAATTAAGCCTTTACAAACACTTTAAGCTTCAGTTTAAAACAATGCGACTTGACAGATCAGTCGCACCCTATTGCCAGCTATAAAACTGTTCAAATCTGTGTGACTCTGATTTGCACTGACTTTGAAAAAGGTTCCTGCCCTACGTTTTGCGATTTCACGTGCGACTTGCATTGACATCTGTGCATGAAGTTGCACCGATGTCTGCAAGCTGCACATGAAGTCGCATTGAACGGAGACTTTGAAATCGCGCTGATGTAGCAAGATTTCAAAGCCGCATTTGGTGTGAACGAGGGCTAAAACAATTACTGTATTACACATCATTTATGTGCTATTGCAGCTTTGTCAACCTGCGCCATTCTGTATGGGACGTGACATAGACATGCAACAGGTAAAAAAAAAAGAGGAAGGGCATTTATACGGGTTACCACAACCGGATAGGCCCAGGAACAGCTGCCTCCCCTGTGGCCATACTTTACAAGTATATTCTAATATCAGACACTACTAAACAACTCATTCACTCCCTAATTATCTCACGACTTGACTACTGCAACTCCCTCCTCACCGGCCTACCTCATCGCAGACTATCCCCGCTTCAGTCTATCCTGAACTCAGCGGCCAGACTCATCCACCTTACCAACCGCTCCGTATCCACCACCCCCCTCTGTCATTCCCTCCACTGGCTTCCAATTGCACAACGCATTAAATTCAAACTACTAACATTGACGTACAAAGCCATTCATAATACTGCCCCAAACTACCACCGACCTGATACCCAAATATCACCCAACACATACCCTTCGCTCCTCACAAGACCTCCTACTCTCCAGTTCCCTGGTCTCCTCCTCCCATGCTCGACTCCACGACTTCTCCAGGTCTTCTCCCATCCTCTGGAACTCACTACCCCAATCCATCAGACTGTCATCTACTCTCCTCACCTTTAGGCGCACCCTGTAAACCCATCTCTTCAGGGAAGCCTACCCCACCCTCACCTAACAGACCGATCTCCTCCACTCCTCCTACCACTCCATCCCCCACAGCTATCTCCTCCTGTACCACTATCCCCCCCCCCTCCTAGATTGTAAGCTCCTCGGAGCAGGGCCCTCGAACCCCTCATGTATTGTATTGTTACTGTATTGTCTCATGTACTGCCTCCCACTATAATGTACAGCGCTGAACAAACTTTTTGGCGCCATATAAATACTGTATAATAATAATATTCCATCTTTCACAAAAAAAAAAAAAACATTAGTAAATGAACCCAAATTGAAGAAAGAGAAAAGGTGCATTTTAATTATTTTGCTTTGGAGCCTGGAGAGTGTTGCAACTGCAATTAGTGGATCACGAGTTTAATGCACAGGCTCTTGGAGTCTATTCCTCCAGCTCCATGTCTGTACCAAGATATGGACCTTCAGTTATAGAGCTGGAGGAGGTAATCAATAGACTATGAAAGCAGTGACAGCCAGGGGCGGACTGACAACTCATGGAGCCCCCGGGCAATAGGAGATCATGGGGCCCCTGTGTCCTTGCCCAAACTCAAAAAAGCCTATGAAAAAAGGTACCAGGGGCATCTCATGGGGCCCCCTACTGACCCCGGGCCCTCGGGCAGTGCCCGAGTTTCCAAATGGTCAGTCCGCCCCTGGTGACAGCATCAAATTTGTGCTCCGCAGTGGCAGTTGGGACTTGTAGTCTCTCCATTCACATATCTCTGTGCATGGATGACATGATGCAGGTGAAGCTGAATTAAAGTGGTTGTAAACCTCCGACATGAAATATAAACAAAGCATATGGGCAGCACAGTGGCTAAATGGTTAGCACTTCCGCCGGGCAGTACTAGGGTCGTCGGTTCGAATCCCAACCACGGCACCACCTGCCTGGAGTTTGCATGTTCTCCCTGTGCCTGCGTGGTTTCCTCTGGGTACTCTGGTTTCCACCCGTACTCCAAAGACATGCCGGTAGGTGAATTGGCTCCTGTCTAAATTAGCCCTAGTATACAGTCATGGCCGAAATTGTTGGCACCCTTGATATTTCTCCAGGAAATCATGTATTTCTCACGAAACGTATTGCATTAACACATGTTTTGCTATACACATGTTTATTCCCTTTGTGTGTATTGGGACAAAACAAAAAAAGGGAGGAAAGAAAGCAAATTCGACATAATGTCACACAAACCTCCAAAAATGGGCTGGACAAAAGTATTGGCACCCTTTCACAACTGCGGATAAATAAGAATGTTACAAGCATGTGATGCTCCTGTAAACTCACCTGGGGCAAGTAACAGGTGTGGGCAATATAGAAATCACACCTGAAAGCAGATAAAAAGGAGAGACGTTCACTTAACCTTTGCATTGTGTGTCTGTCTGTGCCACACTAAGCATGGACAACAGAAAGAGGAGACGAGAACTGTCTGAGGACCTGAGAACCAAAATTGTGGCAAAATATCAACAATCTCAAGGTTACAAGTCCATCTCCAGAGAACTAGATTTGCCTTTGTCCACAGTGCGCAACATTATCAAGAAGTTTGCAAC